TAAGGGAAACTGTCCATGCATCGCTACTTAGCGTGTTTCTCTCCATAGGTCTGGCCCGATTTTCCTGGTGTTGTTGTGAATGAATCTCTAGACTGGGACAGCCAAGTGGAGGTAAAAGGGTCTTTGTCAATTTGGGTGGAGTCAGGGTTTCTAGGCAGGAGCAGCCGTTCCTGGGATTCTAGACATGCCTGTACCGTGGACATGGGCTTGGCAAGGGCGAAACACTTAGGGGATGTGTCTTGGGTGTCAGTCTGTGCCAATTAGTTTACATGGAGTAATACTTTACTGCCCACTGGGATGTAGATATGTGTTATTATCCTTGGGATTTAAGACCAGAGAGCTCAAATTACTTGTCCAAGGTTTTAGGTGACTTGTCCACAGTTTTAGGTGACAGAGTGTTGATTTCAATTTCAAGGCTGTCAGATTACAAAGGCCCAAGAAATTTCCACTTTTCCTCCGAAAAGTGCTATCTTCTCTCTGAACTAGTATACTTACTGTTGTTGCCTTGGTTATCCCTTTTAAACAGTCTTCAACCCTCGAAGACTGACTAGGTCTTTTTCTTTGTGTATATTTTTGTTTTTTTCCCCATGAACACGTTTCTCCATTTCCACACTTATAAGTCCTCCTCTGAGCGCAATCCTTCCTTGGGTTTCTCAACTTTGCTTTTACCTCTCAGTTTCCAGCCTTATTGTAAAACCTGCTCTCTCCTGGGGACGGTTTGTTGCTTGTAATGGATCCAGGTAGCCCAGGCTTCTGAACCTGAATTTTTTTCCAGATTCACTAAGCCTTTCTTGCTTGAATGAATACATGGCTCCTTACAGGGCTAGGAAGCCTACAGCCCCATCCTCTGGCCAAGATGTGTGTCTCCTGAACTGAGGCAGCCTGTGTGCTTTACTATCAATTTTTGTGACAGTTCCCACAGACAGGGTTGTCAGGGTGGGGCCGAGGACTTCCTGGGTAGCAAGTACCTTGCCCTACTGCTTGAGCTGTTCTTCAATAATGGTTATTCTATCTGGGCAGGAACTCTAGCAGGGCATGTGTAGCCTATGTGACCCCCACAGGAAAGCTGAGGAGACAAGAAAAAGGCCTCTTCTCTAGGACACCTGCAAGGAATTGAAGAGATAAAGAAGCTGTCCTGTGCAGTCAGCAATGTGGTATATGTTGTAGAGACTAGATACTGTCTCGGGGTCAAGTATTAATCAGAGAAATATCCATATTGTGGGAACAAATCCCAGCAGTTGTAAATTCAGTTAGCAGCCACTCAGAAGCCCAGGCGTGAAGACCTCTTTTGGGAGTTCTTTCTACATAATGTAAGATCGTAGCCCATGGACAGAGATGCAGGAGAAACATTCCAGTCACCAGGAATGTGACTGGCAAGAGTTAGGCCAAATATTCATGCCTTATCCAGATAAGTTGATTTTCAGGGCAAGTGGTGAGTCCTAGAGGGAAAGACATATATTAGACAGAACCACACAATCTGGAGCCAGGGGCTAAGGCCTGGCACAGCTCCAGTAGGGTAGGGAGAACAGATGGTACTGCAAACCCATGATGCGTTCTTCTCTGGTGTCAGTCTCTGACCTCCTGGATCCCAGAGCCAGTTGGCAGCAGTAGCACTTTTTAATTTAAAATGAGACACACTTGGGACCAGGCTGCTTGGCTATTGGACTGCATGTCTTTATTTACTCTCAGTAGATGCAGTAAAACAAAACGAACAAAACAGAACCTGGGGCAGGTTTTGAAGATTGGCAAGAACCAGTCAGACTCAGTTCAAGGCTGGTTTCCTTTTGTCTACTACTGAACAAGTATCTATCTACTTATGTATATCTATGTATTTATCTATCTATCTTCAATCTATCATGTCTATGTATCTACCAGTCGATCTATTAATTCATCCACACACTCTATCCATCTATCTATCTATCTATCTATCTATCTATCTATCTATCTATCTATCTATCTATCTATCATATATCTATCGTCTACTTCATCTGTCTGTATCTGTCTGTCTATCCACTGTATCTACTCAGGTTATATCTATCTATCTATCTATGTATCATCTATCTATCATCTACTTCATCTATCTGTATCTATCTGTCTGTCTATCCACTGTATCTACTCAGGTTATATCTATCT